GATAAATTGATATATATATATATATATATATATATATATATATATATATATATATATATATATATATATATATATATATATATATATATATATATATATATATATATAGTTTCTCGTTTTACCTCAAAAAACCACAACAGTCTGTTTCATCCGTATAGAAACCACCTGATGATTCCTATACGGATGAAACAGACTGTTGTGGTTTTTTGAGGTAAAACGACAAACTATATTACGCTCTATCTATATGGTATTGAGCACTGTTTGTGTTTCGTAAACCAAAATCTTAAGCTATATATATATATATATATATATATATATATATGTATATATATATATATATATATATATATATATATATATATATATATATATATATATATATATATATATATATATATATATATATACAGGGTGTATCAAAATAAACGCAATTCATCTTTTGCGCTTAATAACTTTTGAAATACTATTTCTAGTTAAACGCTTTTAGGCTTACTTCAAAGCCTGTTCTTTTCTCTTTCAAACAAACTATTATCCTTGTCTCCAATGTTAGTAATAATTGCACAAGAAAAGATTTAGTAAAACCTATCATTTTTAGTTGCTGTTTAATTATGCAAGTTTACTATGATATTGTTTAGTCGGTTTAAATGTTAGAATTTTCTTCTTTAAACTTTAATGTTGTCGTCACTACATCTGGAAAACCACGTAAGAACAAATTTAAAGTATTTTAAAAGAGACAAGGTTGTTTAAAAATCCTAAACGAATGCTAAAAATCGTCAAAACATTCTGGTGTCTGAGCCAGAGTGTTATCGAATTGCGATGTAATGTAAACAGAAATTATAGCAAGTTGATGTCAGTCAGCTTAGATGGTCCAAGCCAAAATTATATCGCATTTGAAGTTTCAAACTGAGTTAAAAATAGTGAAAGAAAAGCCGTAATTATACTTATTGTTACAATCCATTTAATAAAATGCAATATTTTTTGTTTTAATGAAAAAATCAGTTATTTTCATGAGAACGATTTGTTATTCCATCTCAATTTTTTTAATCTCCAATCGCAATAACGTAAAGTATTATTACCCGCGAACCAATGAGTCAAATTTAAGAAGCAACCCACTGTTAGAAAGCTGAATGGCTACGCTTTAAAATGAATGTAAACTTTAACGTTTTCGTCTATTATTTGTTTAGCAATTTACATTTCAGTCGAGGATTGCGCTTTTTTTGATACACCCTGTACATTACTATACAACCAACTCCATACAGTCCTGTGAGATTTATATTTGAGCCATTGTATTCACTGATAACTCGTTAACTTGACTGTAAATGGAGAGTCACAGTTATCAATTTCCTGCATCATTTCTATAATAATTTTTTAGGAAAATAAAAGTGGTTGCTGCATCTTGTGGTTTCACATTGTCCAATTCTGGAATAACCCTTTCACATTCCTGTCTAACAACCTGTGACAAGTAATCATCTCCTACATCCATTACTCCAGATAGTTGGGCAAACTTCATCAGTAGCTTGTTTCCTCAGTTCAAAACCTGTTGATGAACAATCAAAAATCACCACATGAAAATGACAAAGTACTGTATTTCTGAAAGATTAATCATTCAATTATAATCCCATACCACAATGTTCAGCACCATATTTTTCTGGGAATGAATA